TGGTGGTGGTGGTGGTGTTCTGTGTTTTGTTAGATAAGCTAGTCGTTTGCCTTGTTGTGAGTTTGGGTTCAAAGATTAAAACAGACATTTGCTTAATTGGTTGCTTTTAAGGACAAGCGGGCTAACTCAGATTTCGTTTTTTTAAAAAGAAATCTTGACCTACACTAAAAGTGGGCATTTCTCTACCTATAGGAGAAATTTGGTTTCCTTGGTGTGTATATTTGTTTGGTTATAAAGAAAACTCTCCTTGTCTTTTAAAGAAACTGAACAAGGGGCAAAAACTTTCCCTTCAATTTTCTAAAAACAGCATTTTTCGGTATAGCCCCCTGTGCTTACAAGCGACCAATGATGAGTTGGAAGTGTAAGATAAAACTGTAACAGACGTTTGCTTGTTATGAGTTGATGTTGTAAGATTAAACATAATACGCACAATGTATAAATATTAGATCCAGATTCAAACCTCAAACGTTGGAAGTGCACTGTAAATTCGACACAAACCTCATAATCAACAACGGTGATATGTTTAATCCTCTGATCCTCTCTAAAGCGGGGATATGTTAACTATGTTGTATTTCACACTGTGTGGAGTGAGTGGTTTGCAGGTGCTCTGGTGTGGTTTGCTTCATTTTCCCCATCAAACATCTGTCGTCCTTATCTCTCTTCTTCCATTTGTATGTTACTCTCCTGTAACACCTCTAATCTTCGGCACTTATATGACCTTATTGTGTTGCAAGTGTTGTAAAGCTCTCTCTGAAATGAAAAAACCTACACCCCCCTCAGGTGGAGCTGGAGTCCCACCAGGGTTTCATGGGCGGCTTGCAGCAGAACCGAACCACGGGCAACACGGCACCCTACTGGGCCAACTCTACCTGCGAGGTGGTGTTCCACGTGTCCACTCGCATCCCCAGCACTGGCACAGACTGGCACATCAAGGTATACACGCATGTCTCTGTCTCTGTCTGTCTGTCTGTGTCTCTGTCTGTCTGTCTCTGTCTCTCTGTCTCTGTCTGTCTGTCTCTGTCTCTGTCTCTGTCTGTCTCTGTCTATCTCTGTCTCTGTCTCTGTCTCTGTCTGTCTCTGTCTCCTCCCATCAAGGCTCACACGCGTGTCTCTGTGACTGTTTCTATATCTGTCTCTCTGTCTCTGTCTCTGCCTGTACCTGCCTCTATCTCTGCCTTTATCTTTGTC